GAGGCATCAATGAGAAAATCAAATACACCCAAGAGAGAGGCTAGTGTTGAACATAAGGCCATTAAAACCGTTGGCTGTGATGTCTCACTGGCCAGCATGTCCCCTCTGCTGTTCTTTTTGGGAGTGGGCAACATTAGTCGACAACTCAGACACAACATTGCAGATTTGCTCATGCTTTCTGTTTTAGACATAGTACTCAACGCCTTTTGTGTTCCAGACATTTCTGTCCAACTTAGATGATAAAAGATGACCTAGGACAGACTGAAATGAGTCAGCTGCTGCCTTACCAATTATTTATTATGTAAGGTAACAAGTGAGCATGTTGGAGACAATAGCTACCATTATTTTTCAACTAAGGAGCACCACGAGAGCATCCAGGACTCAGCAGTGAGCTCTACACTGACATTCAAGCAGGACCATAGTCTGGAGACCAGGCACATCCGCATGCTGCTCTGGAACCTGGCCTATCGGCAGCTGAAGAAGAAGGACTGGCAGAGGCTGGCCCGCTCGTGGAGCTTTACAGAGGACCAGATCAGAGCCATTGAAGAACAGTGGTCAGGTGAGTGGGAGCCAGAGGACATGGACAGGAAGAAGCCAGTCTAAGTTAGGAGTAGTGGTCCTTCCTCAAAAGTAAGTGCCTGGTGCGCATAATAGGCAGAGGCCAGAGATCACTGGAATAAGGGCAGTTAGCATGGCTCAGTCTGCAAAGGTAGCTGGGAATAGAGCAGAAAGCTACACTCCTGAGAATCTGCAGTTAGCTGTGCTTGCAAAGCTTGACTACTTTGGCCTAAAAAGAAATGAAGGCTTCATTCACAATTGAGTGGGAACTAAAGAAGCAAGGATAAAATCCCTTGCTTGCCTCTGGAATGCCAGTCTGGCTTTCACTAAAATTTGCAGACTGTTCTTGGATGAAAGGTCTTAGCCTGGCACAGAACAGCTGATTACGGAAGGGGAGGATTCTGGGAGGACATCTTCTGCAAGCCAGGCACATGCACAGTCTCACTAGCATGGCATTAAATGACATGCCTGATGCTCAGTGATTTACAAAGCAGCAGGAAACTTGCCACTCTGTGGACTCTCATTCAAACCTATTCACTCAAATCTGAGTTTTCATAAGATGCCCAAGGAAAACATGTACTCTGAGCCTGACCCTATCTTGTGGGGATTGTCTGTCACCTCTAGGCAGGCATCGAAGCCATTCAGTCCACTATAACCCCACACCCCACGAGTGCTTAGGTGTTCCTAGAATAGAAGAAGCAGGTCAGATTGCCTTGTGTCCAAATGGTGTTCATTACAGCACAGCCCCAGTGAGGAATCATAGGACTTCCTCCCATCACTGGGCTTTTGACCTGACAGATCAGGGAGGATGGATGGACACCAGTAGTCACTTAGAAATGTGATTAAAGTTGAGGTCACGTTAGAAAGATGTCAGTGCATAAGGCTTCACCCAGGGCCTTTTATCCCTGACATAGGTAATGACAGCTTTCATGAGCATGGCTACAGGGCTCTGCTCATCTGGCTGCATGGGGCTCTGATGACCCAGTCTGACCCTGCCAAGCAGCTGTATGAGGAGCTGGTGTGTGCAGGATTCCCAGAACTAGCTGGTGAGTATGCCACAAATCCACAGAAACCCCTTCTCCTTTCAATGGTGGGGTGGGGGTTCTTCCTTAATAAATAGCAGCAGCCTGGATGGAGGTTGGTTGGCCGAAGGGAACATGGATCTGTGGGAGGGGCCTGTGTCCAGCCAGCAGCTTCTGCCTTGGTTAAGTAAAGCGCACTCGTTTCAGCATCTGTCTTGGTTTAAGTTTCATGGCTGTGAAGAGACACAATGGCCACTGAAACTCTCTTAAGGGAAAACGTTTAATTGGGGCTGGCTTACAGCTTCAGAGATTTGGTCCATTACCATCATGGTGGTAAGCATGGCAGTATGCAGGCAGACATGATGCTGGAGGAGCTGAGAAATTCTACATCTTGAGTCAAAGGCAGCCAGGAGGAGACTATCCCACACTGGGTAGAACTTGAGCACTCCCTTAAAGTGACACACCTACTCCAACAAGGCCACACCCCCTAATCCTGCCAGTCTCCATGGGCCAAGCATTCAAACACATGAGTCTATGGGGGATGGAGGGGGGCAAGCTTACTCAAACCAGCACAGCATCTGAACCAAGAGTGAGGGCATTTCTGTGTGGCTGTGGACAGGTAGGGTAGGATGTAACCACCTGCTATAACTCAAGACTCTTCTCAACAACTGAGCAAGAAATATATATCTTCCTCCAAAAGCTGCTTGCTTCTGTTGGCAAATTCTGTTACCTTAGTGGCTGTTACAGAAAATCTCCCCTGAACTGTCGACCGTGTTGTTAGGGAACATTGTTTGAAAACACCAGTGAGTGGCTTTAGAACTCTCATGTAATCATGGTCACTGGCATTGGCCATTGTTCTCACAGACACAGTTCCACTGAGAGGCAAGCACATGCCTGAGTCACGCTGGCAGCTAGACCAGCATTGGTGCAGGCAGTAATAGGAACGACCGACTACATTGGGTCCTCCAATTTTAAACACTCTTTCCATTTAAAGTTTAACTAGGCAAACTGTGAGGGAAGACTAAGGCAGTGTGATACGGTGGTTAGGGCTGTGCTGTGAGACCAGGCTTGCCCTGGCTCCAACTCTGCGATCTCCAGCAGGTTCTACCTCATTGCACCAGTGTGTCCCCTTAAACCATGGAAGAAAATAACATGCACTTCTAAAGACTGGTGTGAATAAGCCCACTGGTGACTGGAACACAGTAAACCACACTTAAGAACATCAGCTGTTCATCTTGATGTGTGCTGGGTAGCTTTTATGTCAGTTTGATAGAGTCATCTGAGGGGAGGGAATGTCAACTGAGAAAACCCTTCCATAAGATCTGGCCCTAGGCAAGCCTGGGGGGCATTTTCTTAACCAGTGATATGGGAGGGTCCAGCCCTTTGTCCTGAGTTCTATAAGAAAACAGGCAGAGCAAGCCATGGGAGCTAGCCAGTAAGCAACACTCTTTCATGGCCTCTGCATCAGCTCCAGCCTCCAGATGCCTGCCCAGTTTGAGTTCCTGCCTTGGCCTTTCATCAACGGACTGGGATTCAGGATATGTAAATGAAGTAACCCTTTCCTCCCCAAGTGGCTCTAGTTATGGTGTTTCATAGCAATAGCAACTCTAACTAAGATAACACTTTGCTGCCTTCTTTTCAGAAAAGATTCGTCAGTTTAAAAGTAAAACTGACTCACACTCCAAGAAATGTGCAGTGTCCTAAGCTTCCCTCTCCTCCTTCAGTGTTGGTTCCTGATGGCCGCAGCCATACTGCAGCTGACTGATTTTCCAGTACAGACACAACATCCCTCCAGGGATGAAGTTGAACACATCATCTCCCCACTGCTCAAGGGCACACAGGCAAACTGTGTGTGACTTCCCCATTTGTCACTTGGTGCACACATGAACACCCTAGCTGGAAGGGCTCTGTCCCTGCTTAAACACTGAAGTGACAGCGGGATCAGCGCGGTGGCTCATGGGAAGCAAGGGCTAGGAGATGCTGCTCTGATATTGGATTCTTGGATGTGGACGTGTAAATATCACTGAAGTGCTTATAATTAGCTTCCTTTCTGATAGACAGGATGTTTTCTCCACAGACAGCAGTGTGGATGAGGGGAACACTTATGAGTGCCTGATCTCAAGCCATGGTATGTAAGCCATGAACTCTCATCGCTGCAGAGAAAGTTCGTTTAGAAATTCAGTCACTGCTGGCTTTATATCACAAGTATAATCTATTATTCAGAAAACAACAAACAAACAAACAAAAAACCCAAAACCCAAACCAAACCAAAAAACCCCAGACACACAGCAGTGATTCTTCAACCCTTCATACTCTAAATGTGGGTAATTTTAATTCTTTGTTCTCTCTGGTACAGTCTATTTTGTTCAGAACAAACAAGCATTACCTTTTGTAATCTGAGAAAGTTATGACATGTACCAGTTGTACGTTGTATCATTGTAAGCCTGCCTGGAGCTCAATTCTGATTCCTGGTCTGGAAAAGCTGGTAAGAAAATCAAGGGCAATTTAGTTATTTTATCATGAATTTATAGTTTCCAGTTTTTCTTACATTGATTGTAAATGGCCCACTTAATGCTAGGAATGTTTAAAACAGGCAATATAGTCACAAGATCCAGAATTTTAAAAAAGTATTCAATAAAAAGTTTCACCTCAGTCTGTTCTTCAGTTTGGCCAGTTCCCACTGACCATGGCAGCATTCCGACTCCAACATAACCTCCGTATGTAAAATAAATACAAACGGATACTCTATTATATAGAGTGTTTCATCATCCAACTTCATATCATTTAACTCAGGCCACCGGGAATTATTTCGTGATTTGGACGACACGGCACTTTTAGTAACATGATGCCTGCAACAGTCCCCAGTTACATCAACTTGCTTTAGGATGTCCATATGACCTAGCTTGCATACTAAATCTAGGTCTGAGCCTAAGACCAAGGTTTTTGTAGAAAATAGGTATGATGCCAAGGAGAAGCAAGGTGCGGATGTTCCACCTGGGTCACCTTGGCTCTCTGCTCCTAGGGACGTCTGTTCTGAGATGGGATGGATTAATGCATCACAGGACAGTACATGGGGAGAGGGGTAGGAAGATGGACTGGTGCATTTGTTACTGTGTGTTATAAGGTTTAAGTATGTGTGAGTGCTCTGCCTGCATATATGTATGTACACACGCAGGCCTGGAACCTGCAGACACCAGAAGAGGGTGCTGAGTTTTCTATAACTAGAGTTACAGATTGTTTAAAATTGCCAAGTGGGTGCTGGGAACTGAACTAGGGTCCGTTGCAGAACAGCAAGTGCTTAGTAGTTCTGAGTTATCTTTGGAGCTCTACATAGTAGGGCTTTGATTTTGGATCACATGAGTGATCTCTTAGGGGAGCCTACCATTCTTTTTTTTTTTTTTAATTATATATTTATTATTTAAACATAGGGGTGCTGTCTGCATGTACACCAACATGCCAGAAAAGGACATCAGATCCCTTTACAGATGATAGGGTGCTATGATGTGGTTGCTGGGAATTGAACTCAGGACCTCTGGAAGAGCAGCCATTGTTCTTAAACCGCTGAGCCATCTCCCCAGTCCACCCACTGTTCCTTCTGGCTTTCCTGGGTGGACAGGGCAGTTCTGGAGAGCATGTCAACAGGGAAGGCATGAGAAGAGGTGCTGCTGCTTGCTGGTCACTTAAACCAAGCGAGCCTTGCTACAGTCGTAGCTGGGCCACTGCCTGATACACCTATAATTCAGAATAGCCTTAAGTACTCGTTATAAAATGGAATCATGGTTGCCTACATCACATTTAGTCTTCCATGAAGTATGAGGCAGCAAGAAAAATGACTTTTTATAATAAAATGAGAGAGCATAGAAGCAGAGCACGCTCACACTGGTAGAGGCTTCAGACGACCAGTATCATACAGGAAGAGACGTGGCTAGCCATTAAGCTTACACATAGATCTGCTGTCTCGAAGAGCCATGCCTCTGCAGCACTGTGTGGATGAGCAAAAAAGAACTAGGCAGGCTCAGTGGGGCAGGCCCCATCAGAGAGACGGAAGCAGGCTCATCCCAGCAGGGAATTCCTTTCTGTTTTGGTGCTAACTAGAAACTTTCTTCCCTTTTAGCCTTACGAATATTTGCAGATGCTGTCTGTTTCCCTCCGTGTTTAGTTCCAGAGCCTGAGAGATGAAGGCCACACAGTGACGGCAGGAAAGCTCTGCTTAGAAATACCACTGCTACCCTTGGTCTTTATCTAAAAGTTAAAATAGCTTCTATTAATTTTAGTAATGAAAGTAAAGTTCCATTTCAAAGTTCTGTGTAAATTACTGCTCAGTAACAGTGGAAATGATTTCCTTTTAGAAATAATGTACAAGCTGGGCAGTGGTGGTGCACGCCTTTAATCCCAGCACTTGGGAGGCAGAGGCAGGCGGATTTCTGAGTTCGAGGCCAGCCTGGTCTACAGAGTGAGTTCCAGGACAGCCAGGGCTACACAGAGAAACCCTGTCTCAAAAAAAAAGGAATAATGTACAGAAAAAGACTTATATTTTTCAACAATGCAATCATTGGCAGGCTGAACATGTTCAGAACCAAGTTTGTTTGTTTTGTTTTAATTAAAAAGTTCTATTTAATTGTTTAAATAGAAATAACATTAAAATAATCTATACATACAGTTACAAAGGATGGGGAAGTCTCTTGTAATTCTGAAAAGATGCACATGATGTGTCCAAGATGTTCTGACTGTACAGAAAAGTCAAAACCCAAAACTTGCTGCTCCCAGGAAAGTCCTTATCAGAGGAATGAAAGCCCTGAGTGTGATCACAGTCTCTCTAGTCCACCACTTTTATCGATTGAACGCTTGAGAGAGACTGGGTGTGGCCTGGCCTGGCTCCAAGAGACCTAGAAGCTGGGATGCCACCTTCAGGATGGATGGTCCGTGGGTACTTGGCAGCAGCTGCCTGAGGAATGGTTTGCTGTGAAGATAAGGAAGATAAGAGAATGCTTTAATAATCTAAGAGTCTATATGTGCAGTATCATTTTATCACCTATAACCCAAAACAAAAGATATTTGACATCCTGTAGATACCAATAATGCACTGGGTGGAGCTGCCATTCAAACACTGGATATTTTATAGTCACACAAGAAAAGGCTTCCCAGAAGACATGGGGCTCTCTTATTTTTGCTTTCCTTCAACAGCGTCTTGCTATGTATCCCAGGCTGAGCTTAAACTTGCAATCCACTTGCCCAAATGTTGGGAATAAGGAACATGCCACCTTGCCTGGTTGGACCATATTTTCCTAAGCAAGGAAAGAACTGGATGTGGAGAACAGAGCCAGACATGGAGGAGAGGATGATCTGCACACCAGTTCAAAGCACAGGAGAATACTGAAACATGAATGCTAAAGAACGAAAGTCAGGGCAGGGCAGACTCGGTCTACATATATGTACAAATATGCACTGTGTATATAGTACATGGTACCTACACATACATATGCGAAAGTTTAAGACTTTATGTCTTAGTAGCTGGCAGTGGGCTCTGTATCAAGTTAAGCTCTTAGTCATATACACACAGATTTCTATTATAGGATATAACTTAGAAGAACTATCTGCAAAATATTTCAAGTATAATTTTATGCATTGGAGGAAGGAGTGATGATGGCCGAGAAGTTAAGAGGACCTGGGTTTGGTTCCCAGCACTCACACAGTGGCTCACAAGAATTACCTCTGTGGAAACCAGGAATTCACGTGGTGGTGCACAGATATATATGAAGGCAAAATACTCATATACAAAAAACTTACAAAAAGGCATTTAGTCAATATATTTACCATGTATCTCAAAGACTGCCTAACTTTCCTTAAAAAAATAAACTTCTTAAAAACAGGGTCCTCATGCACAACTCTGTCTTAAAAGTGAGAATTCCTCTAATGGACAGATGGAAAATAACACCTCTTCTTGAGGTGGCTTATACTGATGTTTCTCTGAGTATAAACATCTGGATAACTATCACAAATGAGAGATTCTTGCAGCTGGTATAAAATTTTAGTTCCCAAGCATCAAATATGACAAAGCTGTTTTTTGAGGATGGGTAAGAGGAACTGCAAAATTAGATTAGGCTTCCCATGGGTATTATGACCTACAAGATATGTCAGAGCACGAAATTAGCTCCAGAAGCAAGCAAATAGCCAGAAAATGGGCAAAGGCACTACAAACAGACCTATGCTTTATTGGCAATAATGGCTTCTGCTAGTTTTAGGTATTGATTCCTGGGAAACAAAACAGCAAAAAGGAGCCAGGTGCTGGTGCACGCCTTTAATTCCAGCACTCTGGAGGCAGAGGCAGTCAGATCTGAATTCAAGGCCATCCTGGTCCACAGAGCGAGTTCTAGGACAGCCAGGTCTACACAGAGAAACCCTGTCTCAAAACTGTCCCCCGATCCCCAACAAACAAACCCAAAATAAAATAGTATAGAGGACCAACTGTGTCTGTCACATGACAAATACTAAGCAGCGACAGAAGGAGTTTATGGATATCTGATTCATACCACCAACTACCAGGCAAGTACTGTATACATGCTGAAGAGCAGCAGGGAGCCTCGGAGGGAACAGTTAAAGAGGGCTTCTAAGATTCTAGTTCCTCAAACTCTAGGTTAGAATACATTATATGATGTAGGGGCTGGTGAGATGGCTTAGCACTTAAGAGCACGGACTGCTCTTCAGGAGGTCATGAGTTCAAATCCCAGCAACCACATGGTGGCTCACAACCATCCGTAATGAGACCTGATGCCCTCACATGGGTGTCTGAAGACAGCTACAGTGGACTTTGGGCCAGAGTGAGTGGAAGAAGGGAAAGGGGAAAAAAGTGATCATGAAAGGATGAGTTATTTGGAGAGTGAATTTAACCTAAGTAGAGAAATTCTGCTCCATCATAACAAGCTAATACAAAGCAAGCTGAACTTGGGAGGGGGGAGGAGAGTCAGATGTGGGGTAAGTAGAAAGATTGGAGAAATAATGTAATAATATTTTAATTCAATTAATAAATTTAAATCATAAAAAGATTCTATTCTAGTTTCTCATTTTTTTTTCCATCTCCAAAATATGAGGGCTGGAAAGACAGCGCAGCAGCAGCACTTGCTGCTCTTCCCGAGGACTGAGGTTTGATTCCTAGCACCCATATAGTGGCTCACAACCCTCTTTAGCTCCAGCTCAGGGGATATGCTACCCTCTTCTGAACCAGGTGTGGTACACAGACGTACTTGCAAGCCAAGACTCAAAAGACTTAAGACAAAACAAAAGAAAACCCCCAAACATCTCATGCTCCTTTTTTAGTAACTTTTAGTAAGCTCAGTGTTCTCACTAACCCTGATTCACAGAAGAGAAAATGGAGGCTGAAGTACTGGACGTGAGGGGTCTGTTTAGACACAGCAGGCAGCAAAGTGGAGGGAACAACGGGCAGGTTTGTACTCACCGCCACTTCCAGTCTATGCCCCTTTCTTTACAGCACAGACCGTTCTTGCAGCTCCCTGCCTTTAACCGCGATACGCTAGGACTGCAAGGGCAAGGGCACAGACTCTGAGGCATTTCCTTATCCTTAGATGCTTAAGGACCGCTGCACGAATAGCTGGTTTACGGGTAACCTGATTCTTTTTGGCATGGAATCTTTAGAGTTTACTGTTTCAGCAGTCCACATACTAGATTACTTTTTCTAGTTGATGATTTTTATGCCATTTGGAATAAACATATTTCTTTATTGTAACAGGAGACATTGTAAGTGTGGGTCATACAGAGTAAATGACAGAACAATGACCGACCATGAATGTCAGGGTTTATGAGGGACTAATTCATGAAACAGACTTCTGACAGGACTTACCACCGTGACTGGATGATGTTTCTCCACGATGACTGAGCTCATGGGAGGAGAAACTCCCATAATAGCCAAACTGCTGTTGATTCTAGTTTTGGAACCAAAATCACACCGACCTGTGATCCGGGCTGTGATTGTCTTCCCAGCTTTCTGCTGGGCTGCAGTCACGACTCTTGGTGCATACTACAAACAAAAACCAATACCCAGTTGGTGGGAAAGCCAGTGCATGATTTACATTACTTGGTTCTGTAACTTTCAAAGAAAGCACAGAGTACTTAAAACCTAATGAGACAAAAAGACAAAACAAAATCCCAACATTGCCAAACTCTAAAATGTTCCTTTAACCTGGGCATGCCAGCATTTGAAAAGTTCTTGAGATTTAAACCCTTATTATACAAGGACAGACTGCCAGGAAGTCCCCTTGTGTGTTCTCTTAGGTTTCCTGCAAGGATCAAGTCTTACCTGAAGCAAAACCACACAGACACCAGTGTGCTGGTGCTGGCATGAGGCCTGTGTACATGCCTGTGCCATTTTATTCCAAGCAATTCCTTACACCTGCCACAGAGTCACA